CACCAGGACGTTCTGCAGAGCCACTGGCCGGCTCAGTTGGTCTTTCACCAGCTTGGTTTCTGCCCTGGTTTTCACCAGGGTCTTCAGTTGGGCCCCTGGCCGGCTCCGCTGGTCTATCACCAGCATGACTGCTACCCTGGTCCCCACCAGGGTTTGGGACTTCCATGGCTCAGCACCCAGCACCCGCGCCGGACGACACCTGCACTGCTGAGCCGAAATTCAGCTAGAACTGGTTCACAGCCACCGGTTCAAAACTTGAGCTTTGTTTGCTTCCCAGCATCTTTGGTTTGGGCCTTTGCTTTGGCTTTGGGTTTCGCTTTGGGGCCTACCAGGTTGAGGTCCGCAACACTGAGCCTTTGCGGTTTGACATTCCTTCTAGGGTCCGCATTGGTAGCACCAGGGTTCTCAGGCCTTTCATGAATGTCACCTGCGTCACTAGTCGCAGGAGCCCCCACACCTTGGGCTACACCCTGGTTTGAAACACGAAGGGAAGGAACTACAGGGGTAAGACCTGGGCTGGTGACAGGCTTCTGGAAGATCCCAGTTTTCGGCACCGCTTGCTGGATAACATCATGCACCCACGGGTCTTTGCCCTGGTATCTCTGCCTGCACTCCTTGCTAAAACCTTCACACAACTTGTCCTGAGCAACCCACTGTTTAACCCCACACCTGGTACACAACCAGGCCTTGCCTGCATTCACAATTTTGTGGGTGGCATGGGCTGCCCTAGCAAAACTCGGGCCCTGAAACAGACAATGGTGACCGATCTTCCTGTCAAAGACAGGGAGCGACTCCGTCTGTTGCACATACAGCCCACAGGTGCTGCATTTGATCGTTAGCTGGTCTCTGGACTGATGCCCCAGCACCCAGTGATGCCCCAAAGCTGGGCTTTCACCATGAAGCAAGGCCTCCATCTGCTGCCTTTTGTTCAGCTTACCCGCGTTGGGTGGGGACACCCGGGTTTTAGGTTTGCGCTGCTTTTGGGCAGTAAACAGCTTCACCTGCCGGGGCCTTTTGCGACGCTGCTTCTGCACAGTCCTCTTGTCTTCCTTAGAATCAAGATAAACAATCTGGGGGCCATCTAGCCGATCATGTTGAAACATCGCCGCCGTTCTCTGTGCCAACAAAGAGTTTACCCTGATGACCACCTCGTCCTTGATGAGAACTGATTGTTCCCAAGCCAAGTCTCTTCTCTCATTGGCTCGGTTCTGCACCAGCCTGTCAACCTCATCATTGGCTTTCCACCTCCATAAGGAATCTGCACCAAATTTGTCAGTGTACTCCTGCTCCGTGAGGTGGCTGTTTATCCAGGTGAGGGTGAGCCTATCCTTTGCTTCCCTTACCGGCTGAATCAAGTCCTCTGACTTCCACCGTGCCGGCCTCTCAGCTAGTTGCTTCACCCCTTTAGCATCCAGGGTAACCTCAATGCTGCCCTGGACTTTAGTCACCAGGTAATTGATTGCCTGTGCTTCAGCTCGAAACACAGATTGCTCACAGGTGACAGGCCCTGTGGCTGCCCCAACCACCTGGATCTGGGCACCCCGGATTTGAAAAGCCACTACTCCCCAGGTAACGACCTGGAACCGCGGATCCTGGGATCCCCCAGGACCGGCATCAGAAGCAAAATGGAGGTTCTCTCCATCGACCACCTGCTGCCTGAAAACCCCCGTCTCCTGAAGGACCTGGGTGTACCCCAGTGGCTTGTCTTGTGCTGCAGGGAGACCTCGCAGCCACAAGCTCTCATCCTGGTATTGCTGCCTGAGCCTGGGGAAGTCTTCCGGCTCCTGCTGGTTTTGGGCCCACCAGCTGCAATCCCATAGCACATGCCTCAGTGTAGCTTCCTGGTTGCAGCGGCTACACCAGGAACCCATGCCATGCCGAATCGCACCTTGCCACACTGCAACAAGGGCCTTTTTCTGCAGGCCTTTCACCTGCTTAAGAGCCCGACGTGGGGCCTTCCAGTCAACTCCTTTTTCCAGCGTACTGCCATCTTCGCTCTGCGAAATGGCCCTCCATCTCCATCCGTCACAAGTTTTCTTGAGGTGGTAGCTAAGCCCATGAAGACTGGCCCTATCCAAGAGGTCAAAGTCCACTCCACATCCTTTCCAGTGCGTGAGTGACGTGGCCGTCCATCCAAGGGCCTTTAAGTAGCACGCAGCCGCCGCGCCAAAAGGACCAACCACTATTCGCCAGTGGCGAATAATGCGGTTGTACCAGTGCTGCCATGCCTCCTCCAGCTCAGCAAAGCCATCCTGGTTCCACTTCACCAGGAGCTTATGGAGAAAACGAAAGTGCTGGTTGATGATGGTAAAGCTGGGGTCCTCCTGCTTGGCCATGCCAATTTCCAAAACAAACTCAGTGGAGCCCAGGCTCATGCGGCCCATCACCTGGGCTTGCTGGTGTCTGATCCAACTTAATCGCTTAGGCGACAATCCTACCGCAACATGCCCATAGAGTGCCACGCTAAGGACTCCTTGTTGAAAGGCCTTCACCTTTGGCATCTTCCCCGGCGCCAACTGGTCAAGCCTTTTCTTCCTGCCACCCCCTTTGTGGAAGCGAGCCCGGTGGGTTGTGACACAACGTCTTTTGCCCCATCCCGAGTCAATGCCAAGATCTCTGTGGATGTCACGTATGGTGGGATCTCCTTCAAGGAGCAGGCTTTTCAGGGCCTTTTCCACCTTTTTGTTGCTGCAAAGCCACGCTGTCTTGCCTATGCTCAGAGGGAGCTGGGCCTCCTTCAGTCGCCTTTTAGCCTCCTGCCAAACTTTAAAGGCCTGCTGCGCACATTGTTTCGGATCGTCATGCACCACGTCAAAACCCGTGTCATCAATGTACAGATCTACATGACACCGTGGCGGCCCTCTCCAAATGGGCTCCACCACATCATGCATCACCAACTTACTCAGCCCAGGGGCCAGCGGGCACCCTGCTAGTATGCCCTGGGTAGCCACCAGGGGTGCACTGACCATGTTCTCAGCACACAGGTGTCTTTTGCCCCGATACAGCTGCATAGCACCATGAAGCAGCACAGCCGGGTACTTATGCTTAAAAGCACTCTTGATCAAGGCCTTATGAGAAACATTCTCATAGAAACCTCGCAAATCCAGTAGCAGCGTGACTCCAGACTTGCGGCTGTGCCTGTGCACCTCGCCTTTGATCACTCTTGTCACTGCAACCTCAAGAGAGGAGTGATTTTTGACGGCCCTGTCCCAGGGAGCAGACACCTGGTACTGACGGGCCCACTTGTCATGCAACGGGTACCTGGTTCTGCACCAGGCTCGATACGCATGTGACGTGAGCGCAATCGGCCGTTCCTCTGTTTCTTTCTTAGGAATCAAGGCCACCAGGGACATTGTCACTGCCTCCGGCATAATGCCTGTTTCTTCCCATTTTCGAAAAGCTTCGGCCACCAGGGAGACCTGGTTCGGTTCAAGGCTGCGCAGCATTTGACTAGTGAGCCCATCAGGGCCACACGCTTTCTTTGCCATCTTCTTCAGAACAGCCGCAACCTGCGCTTCAGTGATGGGTCCCACATCCAACAACTCTTCCGCAGCCTTGTTTCGGAGCTGGTCAAAGAGCTGGTGCTCCTCCGGGGAGTTGTCGGAAGTGGGCTTCCAGACTTGTTTCCATTCGTGCCGCCTAAGGTGCGGTCTGAGCTCACCACTGTGTTGTCGGTACGGCCTCACCTGAACATTCTCAGGCATTTTGATAGACTTGTAGAGGCCACGCATGCCCCCTTCACACGCACCAGTAAGCCATTTCTGGTAGCCTTCCTGCTTGGTCGTTCTCCATTCACTGGCCACCTGTTTAGCCTTTTCAATCACTTTAGTGACCAAGGTCATATCCTTGGGGTGTCCTATGACAAAGGCCTCCAGATCACGCTGGAGATCCCCAGCTTTGGAAAACTCCTCCGGCTCCAACATTTGCTGGATGTGCTTAACCTGGTGCAAAAAGAGGCGGAGCTGGGTCGGCTTCAAAGGTCTATCCTTCCTTTGCTGGATCCAGAGCTGGAGTCTTTCCCAGAAGGCCACCTTGCCACCTCTCCACGGCTTGTCGGGTGAAGCTGGTGACACCAGCGGCTGCCTTGTGACTGGGAAGCACCAGCCCCTTCCTTTAGGCCCAAGCTGGAGATCATTTTCCAGCGCAGCCATGATGTTGCCCCAGTGCACATCAACTTCTTTTGTGCTGGGCTTGTCAAACATGGCAATGACCTCTTTCACCTCTGGCCTTTCAAGCTCCACCTGGGCTGAACCTTGCTCACCTCCGAACTTAGGGGGCTGCGGCACTGGTACACTGACACCAGTTTTGTGAATGGTGTACCGTAGCGCCGCGTGTGGCTTGAAAGGCACACTCCAATCTACAGTCACCTGAGTACAGGCAGCAAGCTCCGCACAAACAACTCCAAAATCGATGGCGGAACCCTGAGTGGTTGTAGCTTCCAGAGGTGCTACCAGACTGCCATGGCAAGCCTGCAGAAAACCCGAGGATGACAACTCATCATGAGTGCAATTCCAATCACCCATAACGATCCAAGGCATGCGAAGCTCTTGCAGAAGGACCAAGAGCGCAGCAAGGATCTTAGGATTGACACCCCCGCCTGGTCCAGGGCCAGACTCAAGATAAAGGTTGCCAACCGCCAAGTCCCATCCATTGAAGCGGATGCCTACAAAAAGGAAGCCTTTGCCTTCCTCACCATGTTTGTGAAGGAACCTGGTTTGGAGGTGTGACCCAGCCAGCGTCACCAACCCACCAGATGTTCCACCAGCAACTGGTTCGGCCTGCAAGGCCCACGGCTCTAAAGCAACCGCCCTCAGGGACGATGTCATTGCATCCACCGTAGCCTGAGCTTGGTGGGTTTCTTGAAGGCAGGCAAGATGCCACTGGTTACTCACCAGCCATTGTCTGATCTCAGATCTGTAACTGGTGACATTGGCTTGCAGAATGTGGCACATTGCCTCCTTAACCTGAGGCCTATGCTGCATTTTGAGGTCCTCAATGGCAGCGAGGATCCCAATCGAATCCTCTTCTTCCGTTTCCAAGCACTCTGGGATACGGTTGGCCACCCAGTACTCCAAGGTGCCTGGGATCAGATAGGCCTCAAACCTCTCTATCCACTCTAGCAGTGAACCTTCCTTGGCTTTAAGGCAAAACTGAGGCTCCTGCACTAACAGATCCGAGAGGTGGCACCAGTCCTGTCTGGTGGGGGGCTCCCTTTTCAGGGCTCCTTTGATATCACCAGTTTGGCTAGTTCGTTGGGTAAAGGTTGGTTGGCTTCCTGGGTCTTCCCCCAGGTTCCGGTGGGGTTGGCTATGCTGGTTTACACCAGCTGCTCGAGCAACCCCTTGCTCCTGGGATACCCCAGGTTCCGCTTCAAGCTGGTCCTCAAAATCTACCGGGAAGTAGTGTGGCCCAGTGATGGCTGCTTCACTTAAGGCCGGCCAAACTCGAGCCACTGGCCCTTCCACCACTGAACTCCCCAATTGGTCATCGAGCTGCTCAAAAACCCAGGTTTCACATGCCTTGCAACAGCAGCCCCACGGTTTCTGCCTTAGGCTGTACGCTGCGCTAGCATACCTGGTTAAAATAGCCGATTTCACCAGGGGTTGAATCCTGGTCACAACACGCTTCTCTGCCACCCACAAAGCTTCCTTCCACTGTTGCGTGATGATCACCAGCTGTCCAGGCTCGGTTTTGCACAAACTGCAAACCTGGGCTGGTTGAATCACCTCCGTATCATTAAAACTCAAAGCTGCTTGCTCTGATCCACAGATCCCTCTCAGGCTGCACTTCTGGTTCCCAAAACTGCTTTCCTTTGTGCCCCCTCTGTCGAATTCCTGGATTTTCACCAGGAACCCTTGTAGGCTGCACTGCCTCCTGCCAAAACTGCGCCCTGGGTTGCCACCAGGGTGAAAAGGACCTAAAACCCAAGGGTCTCGCAACCCTTGGTTGAGGTCCCCACCCTGTGCCCTAGGAGTCAGCTTGCTCTCCTCTGGATAAGGGGTTGCTGCGCTGAGCTGTCCTTTGCGCTCTGCTGGGGCCAAAGCCTTCCCGATCCTTCGCAGCCCCCATCTCACTTGCACTGAACATGTCTGGAGGCAGGGTTTCACCCATCCAGCCTCCACCTAGGTCCAGCAGTTCCTCCTCATCCATCCTGGAGTGCTTCATCGTTTGGATGTAAGCTGATAGGGCCACGTGCTGGTCATCTGAAAGGGTGACACCAGCATTCTTCAGCAGTCCTTGTAGATCCTGAACTTGGGGCGGTTCCGCTTCCTTGAGCTGGGCCTGGACCTGGACCTGTACCTTCACCAGGTGCTCTTCTGCCTGTTCGATGTCCTTTGACACATCCGCCAGATCCTGTACCGCCTTCTCAAACTGAGCTTTGATCTTGTCCGCCCTGATCTGCAACTGGGCCTTCTTGGCCACCAAGCTGCGATGCTGTTGGGTGATCGATTTGTACCGGGCAAGGTACCGATGCAGCACCGTTCTTGGGTCCGGCTCTTCATCGTTCGGAGGTTCAATGCCACAGGCTCTCAAGACCTGCTGGGCTTGGGGATCCGCATCCTTCCACAAGCTGGCCACTGCATCCTCATATTCACCAGGCGTAAGCTGGGATGCACCCCAGCCTAGTCCTGGAGGCCACGCCGGCTGCTTCCTGGGTCTGCGCGTCTCTTGCTCCCAAGCTTGATCCTCCCATCTTTGCCAGTCTGCCTGCGTGTTGTATACCCGCCTTTGCTTGTTCGCCGGGTTAGGAGGGGTAGGCCCTGGCCAATCTGCTCCACAGTTCCAACAGCATGGATACCAGTGCTTTTCCTCCTTCCAAACCCAGCCTACTGTGCAATGCTGGCATACGCTGTAGGGCTGTCGCCCCATCGTGCAGCACCAGGAGCTCTTGCTCCCTGGTAACACCAGGTATCACTCAGGCTGGTAGCACCAAGCCCACTGGATAAACCAGTGCGCTGGATACACCAGCAGAAGTGTCACCTAGCCTTGCAGGCTGGTTGCAGCTATGGCCAAGGTTCAAAAAACTGGGGTTGTCCTGTTTGGGTGCTGGTAGCACACAGTTAGGACCTGAAAACCCCAGGGCCCGTTGGACACTGCAACTCTCTACTGGCTTGAACCCCATATAAAATTCTTTTCCTTTCCTGGGTGGCGTGAGGTCGCGCTGCCTTCGGCTTGGGTGAAACGAAACAGACCGCTGTGTTAGCAGCCTTGGG